CTCCATCGCGTACTCTGCCTCTCCCGCCCTCTCCCACGTCGCCTACAACGCTCACGGTGCTAACTACGGTTGGTAAACTGAATCCATTGCTCTAATCTGTAAATAGACTGATTGTATAAACTCAAAATAGAGAATGAAAAATAAACAAAAATAAATATAACTTTAAGGTCTTTTTTTATAACGTTAATTACTAACTAACTATATAAATACGTATATTAGAAAACGAATGAATGCAATATGTTTGGTTTTAAAACTACAACCTACTTTTCTGTACTTGATTATTCTTTTAGCGAGCGTTGGTAAGCTTACTCAGGGGAGTAAGCACGTTTACACAGTTTATGAATTTCAAATGTACATAATTTACCAGACATTCTTACGGTGAAGGAAAACATTGTGATGCAATCTGCATATTTCGACGATGAAATTTAAAGATAATTTCAACCAATCCGCAGTGGGCCAGTGTGGTTGACTATGGGTTAGTAATTTAGGGTAGGATCCCTGTGTGAGGCACGTATGGTGAGCTGGTGATGTAAATGACTAAGATGTGATATTTTTCAAAATAATTATATTCGTTAAAAGAATACTGAAGCTTGTTCCACCATATTTAAATTTAAGGGCGTTAGAAGCAAGCGTTCAATAGAGAAATATAGAGCCAATTTCCGCACTACAATCGCTTTAATTGGCTCAGTCATTTGCTTTATGAATTGAGCAATTATTTGACATGGGTAGCATCTGTCGCGGCCCGATTCCGTCGCTTGGGGCCTATCCCTTCCGATCCCAACAATCATGCCTTTGTTGTAGATCAAGAAGTACTTCGCAATTATACAAATGATCTTAAAATTGCTTTCAATATTATTAATTCAGGGATTTATGAAACCAGATCATGAATTCTTATTGGTTAGAAAGTTATTGGTCATCCATTTTATTTTATGAAATAAGAAGTTGGCTTTATAAGATTTTTATAAGAGTAAATAAATAAAAGAATGTAATCATGCTATAACTACTAAAATGAAAAATATGAAAATAAAGATGTGTGAAATTGTAAATGCGAAACTCTGCATAGACGGATGGATATACGTTTGTTACTACGTTTCTCCAGAAAGGCTAAACTGATCTCGATGAAATTTGGTACAGGCATAGACTATAGTATGGAAGAACACATACGCTACTTACTAGATAATTTTCGTAATAACAAACATTCATCTGAGTTCTAGGCGGATAAAGTCGTGGTCATATAATGTAAAAATTGATAATTTTGATGTATTGCCATTGACTATAATGTTATATCAATATTTTAGTCATTGAACTATCGTCTTATTAATCCCGCTCTACCTAATTTAACCTAATATCGAAACATAATTCCTACAGGTCTCGAGTGTGTCCGAGACAGTTTTAAACTAAGAAATTAGCACATGTGGCCTCATATATATGCGTTCAATTCGTGAGTTGTTTTTAAACGATTCAGTTGCAATATATTTACGGGCTGCGGCTGCAGTCGGCGCCCTTTCATAAAGGTATTTCGTTCGCAATGCAATGATGCAATTATGTAACAAACGGAATAATTCCAAAAAGATACAAATATATATTTAAGAAATTCACCGAACGTCTTCGATTATCAAACTAATTTATTCAATACTAGCTTTCGCCCGCGACTCCGTCCGCGTGGAATTAAAAGAAAACTTAAGTGAATAGCCTATGTTTACTTCCAGACTATTCTCTATATCTATACCAAGTTTCATCTAAATGCGTTCAGCCGTTTAAGCTACAGACTCTAAGATCCATCCATGCCTCCATCCAAACTTTCGCATTTATAATATTAGTATGATAGCATGTACTCAGAATTATCTCATCATCCACTTGCCCTTATCCCTTATGGAGGGTCGGCACAGTATGTGCTGCTCTTCCATACATCTCTATCAGCCGTCATATCTGAATCCACTCCTTTCTTAAGCATTTCTTCCTTCACACAATCCATCCATACTTTCTTCGGTCTTCCTCTTCCTTTGTAGCCATCCACATTCAATCTCAACACTTTCTGGTTTATGTCCCCATCATTTCGTCGCATAATATGTCCATACCACGCTAACCTTTTGCTACTCAGAATTATCTAAAGCTTTTATTTAATTTAAATTAAGACACTTAGCAAACATCAGAATGTCATTTTTATAGAAAGTATGAAGCCATAGAAAAAGATCAGACCAGCATTCTATATTCGCTAATATTGAAGGTGGCAATCATTCGAATTTTGTCATAAATCTCTCATTTGATGCTTTAAACTAGTAACTATTTATAATTGAACGAAAACAAATAAATTATCTTCATTTTAATAGAGAATCCGGGATTTGCTTAAGCTGATTAGTTCCTACCAACTAAGCTCGACCGTACAAAGTAATAATCTCTTAGAAGGACACATTGAAAAGCTGCGGTTATTTCTAATAATTTGATATAGTCTGTCTAGCCTTTATTGCTAAAACATGTATGCTTTGGTTCTAGTTGCATTAATTATTATCATAATGTATGATAGTATACGGCTACGCAATCCATGTATAGAAGTGGACCATTGCAGCTGACATTTTATCAATTCGGCCGCATAAACTGGGTGGAGTGCCACCGTGACATTGTTACAGTTACAAATGCAGAAGTCGCTAACTAGAAACGACGGATTAGATAAAATAATCTCTCAATTAATATCATAAACACTATTTTGCAATGGACCAATCTGTTGCAGTACATTGCGTCAGGTAACTTCGAGGATTCGATACCAGTTTTCTGGCGCTGTATAAAAGTGAATGCAATTGCTCTAGCAGGCATTATGTTATCAAAATACACAAAGTAAACATGTACACTAAGGTACGGATTTCTTCATGAGTGAACATAGTTTAAAAAAAGTGAATAGTTTTTAATTTGTTTCAACTCGTTTTCAGGTAGCGTTGCTTCTGTGCGTGGCGGGTATCGCGTCTGCTGGGAACCTCCTGCACGGAGGCGCTCCCCTCTCGCTTGCTACATACAGCGCTGCACCTGCGCTGGCATCGTACGCCGCACCGGCTGTCGCTACCTACGCCGCGGCACCCGTCGTCACAAAGACTATCGCCGCCGCACCAGCATACGCTGCCTACGCGGCCGCTCCCTCCGTCGCTTACCAAACTCTCTCCGCTCCCGTCGCCACTTACGCCGCGGCCGCTCCCGTCGTTTCCAGCACGTATGCGGCTGCTGCACCTATAGTCACTAAGGCGTACGCCGCACCTGCTTACTCCACCTATACTGGCGGCTCGGCGGTATCCTACCAAACCGTCACTAGACAATCATCCCCGGTAGCGTACGCAGCTTCCACATACGCCGCGGCAGCACCAGTTGTTGCTCGCACGTATGCCGCCCCTGCTGTTTCATATGCAGCCCCAGCTATCTCTGCTTACCACGCCGCTCCAGTGGCCTCTTATGCGGCTGCTCCTCTGGTCACTAAAGCCATTGCGGCTCCTGCCCTCGCTGCCTACGCTGCGCCGGCTCCCGCTGTTTCTTACACTTCTATCGCGTCCCACGCCGCTCCCGTTGCGTATGCCGCCGCTCCATTAGTAACTAAGTCATACGCCGCCCCAGTTGCTACATACGCTAGTGCGCCATTGATTTCCAAGACTATCGCGCCAGCTGTTACCTATTCCTCGATTGCTGCTCCCGTGGCCGCGTACAGCGCTGCGCCTGCATACACCGCCGTCAAATCGTACTACACCGCCGCCGCACCTGTCGCCTACAACCACGGATGGTAAACTACCAAAGTGATCGTTAATTTTTCAAATTAACAGAAAAAATTGTTTTTGTTATCGTAAATTATTGTTAAGGAAAATATAAAATAAATTGATTTATCTGAAATATAACTTTTACTTTTATTACTATGATTAAAATAGCTTTTGAAGTTGTTTGTTTAGGGTCTTAATGTGTATGAGAATTATTTATTAACGTATGTTGTAACACAGCTCGAGAAATTAATAATATGAATTTTAATATCGCTAAAATAGAGCGCGCACAAATTTACAGTTATTATAAAGTAATATTTTAAACGTTTCACCACACGTCAGCATAAACTCAATTTTATTGACTAACATGTAAACGGTACATGTTTTGAACATTAAAAGTAATTTATTAAAATCCACTGATTGAATTGTCTTACCGCCATAAAATAGAACATGTAACTGATTAGCAATAGCAATTTGAGAACTATCAAGAAGTCCCTCATAGTACACATCCTTGCGGCAAGGTATAGCAAAAAAGACATCGCCCTGTTAAGAAAATTATTAACGAAATTATATCGTATGTGACAATCAATTTTCGAATATATTCAAAAACAAATATCAGTAAGCGCTGATTATGAAAAAAAAAATAACAAAGTCGCATCCGTAAAATTTGCTATAATCTTGGAAAGGGGCAATTTTTTCACATTTAACCGTTGCAGAGTTTTTGAGCTTTGAGAGCTAAATTTTTGTCTGATTCTTTCCATGGTAAAAAATAACTAAACACCTTCTTTATACATTACTGTAAGATATATAAAATTTACATGTTTGTAAACGTGTTTGGAAGAGCAATGAAGTGTCGACAGAGGTCGCGGGGTCATTATAAATATTGTCATACGTGTTGTTAATGGGTTCGAATCCCGCCGCCATGTACCAATGTGATTTTCAATTTTTCGAATTTTCATATGTACATAATTTACCCGACGTTCTTACGGTGAAGGAAAACATCGTGATGCAACCTGCACATATCGGGGAAGAAATTCAAAGATATGTGTGAAGTCAACCAACCCGCACTTGGCCAGCGTGGTTGACTATGGCCTAGTCACCCTGACTTTAGGGTAGGCTCCGAGCCCCTCGGTGGGGACGTATAGTGAGCTGGTGATGGTGATGGTGATGGTGATGGTGTTGTTAATGAACACTGTACTACATATATGTCATTAGTGGATATTACGTGATATTGCAAGATGTTGATCAATAATGCTCATAAAAAACTTGAACTCTGAACCACTGTGAATAAAGAATCACATTTTAATCATATTTAACAGCGATAGTCCGCGATTTCATCAGCGTAGGATTAAAAAGGACTGAATAATATTCCCACGTGCTCCAGCTTCGTTACCGTAGAAATTCCGTCATAATCTATTCAACCGTTTTGAAGATGAATAGAAGAAAACAGGATCTTGCAAACAGACACGCAGACATTAAAAAGCAGCTATCAAAATACATCATCGCGAAATATGGTATTTTTCAGATTTTACATGCATAAACTTCACTTTATTATAAATTTCATGGAACAATTTTAGTGTTAAAATGTTACAGTTCTTGCACTGTGCAGTTAGGCTAGAGTTATATGTACAGTACAGTTATAGTAAGCTTTCCAAGTTGTTGAAACTTAATCTATGAACAGAATACACAAGAAACAATGTATTTACCATGGACTTTGGCTATCGAAACAGCATTGAAATATATCTTTATCTCAATTGAAGAAGGAAGAAGGAAAGAGATGACAATGACATGTTAATTCCATAACTGGGTGGAAACCAACGTTACCATGACAACAAGTTAGCCTTCTGTGGTAGTTTGACGAACAAGTTAGCATCTAGGCCACTGATCTCTACAATAATGGATAGGCAATTGCTTGAATAGGACAGCTTTTTTCTTCGTTTCGACTATAAACGCATATGTTGATGATAAAGACAGCTTAATCTATCGCTGTTATTAGTTTGAATCCTCACTACGGCTACTAACCGCAACTAACCGCGCCAAAGTGCAAATATAAACATAAAATACCACGCCTTATAGCCTATCCATTTAATAGAGGTCAGTGCCCCAGGCGTTGGTTTCACGATTAAGATTTTTTCAATTGACATTTATTAATTGTTGTGATATGTAGCATTTAATGTCGACATGTGAGCAGATGCAATGTTAAACAAACCTTAATTCAACGGAATACAGTCGATTCTAAGCGTTGTTTATCAAACCGATTACTCAGAAGAAACAATATGCCGCCAGGTTGTCTGCGACAAGATATTATGCATATATGTTAGTGTAATCATTAATGTCACTTATTTACAAGGATTAAAGCTGGCACATTAGTTGAAAGGTTGTCTAAATAGTCATAGGATTAGCTTGTAAATTAAATGACATTTAACATTTCTATGTAATACGTAAAGAATCAATCTTTTACCTGAATTTAATTCAGCTTTTATCGTGTTTGATAAAACTATGAATAAGTAAATTGACAGATTTTTAACTGAGTAATACTAACAAAAAAAATGATATCGAAGTAATAATTTAAATTATTAAAATTGTTATCTGAATAAATTAAAAACTACGTATTTCTTTAGTTATGGATAAAGTCATAAAATATATTTTCCATAACTAAATCGACAAAAGGATGCTTACAGCTTGGCTAGCAATGTGTAAACATAATTTTCAAGAAACAGTTCATGCCTTCTGGCAATAATTAGCATTGCATCTGCGTGTAGTCTAACCATGACATTGTTACATTTGGCCCGACCTGTATGACTAACACAAATTGCCACAGGATAATAGCTCTTACACCTTTATCATAATTACCTTTTTGCAACATCTGTTCTACGTAGGAGGTATTGCACAAAAACGCTTCGAAGATTCGGTACCAGTTTGTACATGATGGTATAAAAGTGGATGCGGGAACTTTTTGTATTCATACTGTCATCATAACACGAACAAACATGTATACCAAGGTATTATTATCTTACAAAAAAAAAGGGTTTCTACGATAATTTAAAAATCACCAGCTTGAATTTTATTGACACAGTCTCTGATCTGATCAGGAGATCTATTAACAGTCAGCTTGCACAGAATTTTCATTTCATAGACTGTAAATTTTGTGTCCGTAAGCCTTAAATAAAAGCATGGGAATTTCATACCTTTGTATCCAAAGAATTTTAATAAAAAATAGAGAGAATTGCTAAAAATTTTCAATACCTAATAAAAAAAAAATCAGCTAAAACAGATTTTCTATGTTTTTAATTACCCTATTCATTTTTTCACAGGTAGTAGTACTTATGTGCGCTGCGGGCATTGCTTCCGCCGGCAACCTACTCCACGCAGCTGCTCCCGTGGCTTACAGCGCAGCACCAGCCGTGTCTCACGTGTCTTACTCGACGCATTCCAGCCCGGTTGCTGCATTCGCTGCTCCCGGCTTGACCACCTACAGCGCACCCGTGGTTACCAAGACCCTCGCGCCCTCCGTCTCTTACCAGTCTTACTCCACTCACTCTTCTCCAGTCGCTACCTACGCTGCACCAGTTGTAGCTAAATCTCTTTCTCCAATTACTTACTCTTCAAGCCCAGCGGTTTATCAAACGGTATCACATGCCTCGCCGCTATCTTACGCATCCCCTGCCTATTCGACTTACGCATCGCCGGCGATCTCTACTTACCATGCTCCTGTTGTAGCTAAAACTCTATCTCCCGCTCTCTCATACTCTTCTGTAGCTAGTCATTCTGCTCCTCTGAGCTATGCTGCTGGACCTGCCTACTCGACGTATTCTGCTGTCCCTGCTATCAAGGGCGCTATTACATACTCCTCTGCGCCCGCTGTGTCTCACGTCTCTTACGCTGGTTTGGGAGCGAGCTATGGTTGGTAGAAGATTTAGTAATTAAGTTTTGTAAATTGAGAAACTGTTTTTATTTTTGTATGTAATGTTAAGAAACAAAATTGAAAATAAACAATTTAAACACTATGTTGTACTTTTATATTTACTGAAAGTATAAAATATTCGAAGTCGGTATTCCACTGTTCCTTAGAAAGAAATACACTGTTCCTTTTGTTGTGATTTAAATATCTTAGCAGTTTTTGAATTTACGATTAAATTATTATATATATATTATCTTTACTATATAAAACACACACAGAGTTCAGGTTTGTTTTTTTTTTTTAATAAAACAAGAGATACGTAAAACTAAGAACTGGCAAAGCAATTTGGCTAAAAGTTTAATCGTATTCAATTTGGCCCGAATATTAGGACCTGCAGGCAACATCTGAGTTTATGACTTGTGTTACATGGACAAGGAGGTGGTAAAGGGATTGCCAAAAAACAATTTAGCTTGAATATCTCTAAAATATCCTTCTTGATTTTCTATTAAATTTATAATATGTTGGTATCAGAATAATCAGTCTTTGTAATGCATAAACAGCAATAGAAATTTATAGAATGGCAAAGAAATTATTTCATTTTTAATATAAGATTATATAATTTGTAGAAATGTATATATAACTTCCATCAAATTACTGAGATGAGGAGGATGACCACTTGACATCTAAACTGAATTAATTTCAAACTATCAGAGAAACTTAGTTATTTAAATGTCGAAATATTAATCGAAAGTATGAAGAATTTGTGATGATAGGATGTATCCATAATGGATGGATATGTATGGGATTGCACCATTGAAAATCCCTTGCTCCTGTAAGGCGAGAATGATTTATTTATTTTATTATTTCTTTCATACTTCAAAAAATAATAAACTTACTGTTCGTTTAGGATTTACATATCTGAGAGTTTCAGGTCATGAAAGCGAATATACTAGTTATACATTACCTAAGTAAAATAAAAATCACGTATAAGCAGAAATCGAAGATTTTTGTTATTAACTATATCGAATAGTAATTAAGTGTATTTTTAACATTTTTTTCATAGTTACATCTAAGTTCATATGTAGTTATTTTTTCACACTTTCATGCTTGCTATTTTATATATTCAAATGTATACCAAAATGTTACGAAACAAGTTCTAAATCTGTATCTGTGTGACTAAACGAGAATGGAAAGAAAATTACTGCATGGCTCTTCATGGCTTCTATAAATAAACGCACTGTTTGGGTAAGAATATATTATATAACAAGGGTTCTTGGATAAAAGATACACTGACTCAGACTAATAAGTTGGTGCATATATGTACTCGTACAGTCGCGGAAATGCGTAATGTTTCACTTACAGAAATATTGCCTTGTTCATTGTAACGAGACAAACTCCGCCTCTCAGTAAAAAGCGCAAATGACAGGATAATAATAAAAATAAAGATAGCCGTAACACTGATTAACCTATTTTCGTATAGAAACATTAAAAACCTGTATCCTTGTCGTTCCGCGTCGTCGTTTCAATGCGAACAAAAAGTTCGAGCTACTTTTTCTACCGACAAATTCTCCGATTGTACATATTAATCTAGTACAAAATCCTGGTGGGTTATTTATTTGTTTACTATTAAATATTTCGTTACATTGACACTGATTTGTCAGTATGGAAAATTAATGACGATATATTCTGACATTCAATAATTGTGTTACATGAAGTGGGGGGTTGCCGTGACATTGTTACATTTGGACAGACGACAGGTGATGTGAGAAATGAGGTAATTATCTGTCTTGCCTTATTACATCGGAATAAAGACTATTTTACAATCTCGCTCACCAATGGAAAAAATGCGATTCGATGATTTGATACCAGTTTGGATATGGAGTATAAAAGTGCTTGCAAGTTAATTTGTGTACATTCAATCATTGAAACACATAGCATCAACATGTACTCCAAGGTATAGTAACATGTTAATAGACAGTAAGACAAAAAAGTAAACATCTGTAATATTATGTCACTGAATTTTCTGTTTATTGGAATAAGCAAGAATGATTATCGTAATATTGTATGGCTGATTAGAGTAATTTTATTGTTTCTATGTTTATTCAGGCTATAACATTAATAAAATGTACTTAACTAATTTATAGCAGGTTTATTTCCAATTGTAATTTCAATATTTAAATCATTTTAATTTGAAAAACATTGAAATCAATTTCACTTTACTAGGATTCAATAAGATCCGTAAAAAATTGTGACCTAATGTTTGCTTTTGATTCTAGGTTTTAGTATTCCTGTGCGCCGCTGGCATAGCGTCTGCCGGCAACCTTCTACACGCCGCACCCGTGGCTTACAGCGCGGCTCCATCCGTTTCCCAGGTGTCTTACACGTCACACGCAGCCCCTGTTGCGTACGCTAGCCCAGCCGTCGCATACTCCGCACCAATCGCAAAGACGGTAGCATACTCTGCTCCATCAGTCTCGTACCAGTCTATCTCTTCTCACTCCACTCCTCTTTCTTACTCTTATGCATCTCCTGCTATCTCCACTTACAACGCCCCTGTTGTAACTAAGACGATCTCTCCTGTCTCCTATTCTTCTGTAGCACACTCTGCACCCTTGTCCTATGCTGCTGCTCCAGCATACTCTGCGTATTCTTCTGTTCCCGTCAAAACCGCAGTGACATATTCTGCTGCGCCAGCGGTCTCACATGTCGCTTACACCGGTCTCGGTGTAAACTACGGCTGGTGAAAACGGAACTTTACTGCAATTTATTTCATACGCGGATGTGAATACGATGAAAATGTAAATAATGTTTTTAATTTATTATTGAAATAAAAAAATGCTCAAAAATGTATTTCTTTTCATTTTCAACGCTTTATTACGTAACGTTTAGCTTACATTTTCAATTATTACAATTTTTACAAGCTATCAAAAGCTAAGGTTTTATTCACGAACTATTTTCATTTTACGAGTATATTGACATTGGCTGATATGAAATGTTTGTTTGATAGGATCTTATTAAAGTTATCGGTTCACATAACATAAAAATCTATACGGCCGTATATGGGCAGTCGCTACATTAGCAAATTAAGGTAGCTGCTTGCCACCTTATAATATAACAAAAATAATATAATTCTTAGAAAGTAGAGAGCTAATACTGAAAATTGAAAATTATTGGTTGAAGTAATAACATTTACGATATTAATAGTTACTATTGTATCCTTTATTTGATCAAATAATAATTTCCACTTTCATGAATTTTAATTAAAATTAGCTGTTCCTGTGCCGGCTGACATTATAAAAACTTTATTTTATTGTTTGTATACCGAAGAATACAGACATGGAATAAATACTGGAGATTAAAGGATGTATTCAAGAGCAATCTACCAATAAACCTAAAAACAAAGACCATGAATTCCTGCCTTATTCCCTGTCTAACATACGGTTGCCAAACATGGAACACACGCACTTACTTCTAAATGGAAATGGGCCGGGCATGTCGCTCGTCTCCAGGACCAAAGATGGACTAAAAGAATTACTACGTGGAAAGGACCTCAAGGAAAACGACAAATAGGAAGACCTTATAATAGATGGGAATAAGATATAAAGAAAACAGTAGGACCACAGTGGATCGAAAAAGCAAAATCAAGAAAAAACTGGCTGGCTTTGGAGGAGGCCTTTACTCGCAGAGAGGTTCCCACAACGTCCAAGACATAAAAAAAAATACACCCTGTTAGTTTTTTAAAAAATTTGAAATGTCTAAGTAGTCATTTAAAAGAAACATTGTAATGTATCTATTGTAATGTATGTAATTATTAAGTTGCTGGAAATAAAAGGCTTTTTTATTATTTTTTTATTTATTTTATTATTCCTCTAAATTTTCAATCGCAAATATCAAAAGTCAAATACTCAAAATGACAACGAAGGCCTTGTCATTGGCTAAAAATTACTGTTCCGTTGCAAACTTGCTTCTTTCGTGTTATTAGCTTATATACGTTTTTATCCTTATCTCGTATAACGTTTTTTTCGTCAAATGCGTCAAAATATATAGCCTAAAACATGTCGTAAGAATAGGGCTTTTTATTAAAAAAAATTACTTACAAATATACATAAATAAACGTTTTGTTATATTGGTGTATTAGAACAGGGTCGTTATCAAAGATAAAAACTTTAAATCAAGTCACAAATAGCTTTAGTATGTTTTATAAATAATGTTAAGGCTATAGTTTTATGGTTAAGTATAGTAAAAATTGTTATAGTTATTGCAGAAAAAATAAAAAAGTGGCGCGCTTAGCAATTGCGCTACCAGACACAATATAAAATCATTATGTTAGTAAGAAAATTTTATTAAACAAAACTAAATAACCTGTTCCATCGTACGTTATTTGTAACATAATTACTTAAACTTTATATGGTTTTAATTAGTTCCTATTAGTAACATAACCATAACCAACATTGGTTAAAATTTCACTCATACACGCTTGCTTGTATGTTATTGATTCTTGATGTCTTCGTATAAAATGTTTTACACGAACCCTGAGGCGCACAAAACAGTATTCATTACGAAACATGAACATGCATTACAAAGTTTAGCACGGCTTTAACAAAAGACCACCTTGTTCAAACCACTGTTTAGGAACAAGTATCGCACTTGAAGTGTTCGTTGTTATCAAATATTGGATAATTTCAATGAAGATTTTTATACAGTTGATGGGAAGAAAATAGTAAATTAGTAGTTAATAGTAAAAAACAAAATGTTGTATGAATACTTTTATTACATCACGTAAAAACAATATTCACCATAAGCTGACATTTTCGGATTTGTTCAATAAATAAGTAACATAAGCTTTGGTAGTTTACCAGCCGTAGCTAGCGCCGAGACCGGTGTAGGTGACGTGGGAGACGGCGGGTGCGGCAGAGTAAGTGACGGCGGTCTTCAGCGCGGGAACCGTAGAGTACGCGGAGTAGGCAGGAGCCGCAGCATAAGTCGCAACAGCTGGGGTTGCAATTGCCTTGGTCACTAGAGGAGCGGAGTATGCGACTGGAGCAGAGTGAGAGGACACCGAGGAGTAAGATACGGCAGGAGTGTAGGATTTAGCGATAACAGGCGCAGCGTAAGTTTTGGCAACCAATGGGCTGGCAGCGTACACGGGGCTGTGTGCTACAGATGAGTAAGAGACAGCTGGAGTAATGGTCTTTGAAAGTACGGGAGCGGCGTAAGTGGCAACAGCAGGTGCTGCGATTGTTTTAGCGTAGAGAGCCGGGGCGGAGTGGGTGGAAATAGATTGGTAAGAGACGGATGGGGCTAGAGTCTTGGCGATGACAGGAGAAGCGGCGTATGTGGTGAGAGCGGGTGCGGCGGCGTATGTGATCGGTGCAGCGTGGGTCGAGTACGAAACGGAGGATACAGCGGGCGCTGCGCTGTACGCTACTGGGGCATGGAGCAAGTTGCCAGCGGAGGCGATGCCCGCCGCGCACATGAAGATGACGACCTGATAACAAAAGCGTTAAGTCAATTTGATGGATTCGGAAGCGGTATCTGATACATATTTTATAATACGTATCTCGAAGAAGCATTATTTTCTAATTTAATGCATAGATGTATATAAAAATCACAATTTATTTTCATACCTTGGTGTACATGTTTAAGTTGTGAGTTTCGCTGATGGAATACTTTTCGAAGCTCTTGTGTATGCTTTTATATCACCGTTGACAAACAGGTATCAGCTTCGAAATAACTGAGACCGATTCATGAACTGCCGCGGGCGATCTCATTTCAATGTCAAGGAGATCCACCGCCCAAAATAACGTACCGAACAGAATGCGATTCGTTTATCTTAAATGTTTATGGAAGTAACACAAAGTACAAGGAAATCCTGGTCGAACTCGGAAAATGATCTTCCGATAGTATAATATCGATAAATTATTCTCATTGATATCAGACTATAGATTACTGTTATTTATAACGACACTTTTTTTTTTACTTTTATATGCATATGTTTACTTTACCCACTCGAGTTACTTATGCATCAGGTGCTCCTCGACCACCTTCATGATTTTTACTTTTAATCAATTTGCATAGTAAATCATTCTAACAACTTTTTGGCGGTGGTTTAAAAAATACTGGTTTGTTCTTAATAAAAATAATTCTTTCACTAATTGAAATGTCTTTAAATATCAATTTTCGAGAGAAGTTTGTACAGAACTTACATTTATATGTAATAAGAAAATCTTTTTTTTTTTGATAAAGATTTTTTACTGGTTTTTTGTTAATTGTTAATTTACTAATATTTCCTTTGACCATTCCAACTAAGATCTAGGCTTGTGCTAGAATATGGTTCACGACAATAGTCGAATGGCGGGATTCGAACCCTCGATCGCAAGATCGGTAGTCTGTATCCCAAACCATTAGGCTATTGGCGCTCATTAGTAGGTCATAGTTAGTCGTACGGTAAATATTCGCCACGTATGTAAATTTCGCCCTTCATAAGACATCGTTTCCGCTATTAATAGTTAATAGTATATGACCAATGTATCCTTTGATCTTAATTATTAATAGCGGGCGTGTTGAGTGTTGTTTACTTGTTAATATTGATGTAATTTAACTATTAAGTTTGTGCTTATACTCGTATTTGCGAAGATCGATTAGCTCGTCTTAAAGTTTACAAATTAATGTTTGTGTTTGTTGTTTTACAACAAACTGTTTACTGTTATTTTTGACAACATAAACATTATTAATATGAAGTCTTTCGACTAACATCAGGTAATATTGGGTGATTTATGACATTTTCTTGTAGGCGTGGTACTTAGGTATTTCAACAAAATAGTTGTCTTGATAATTGGTGTAGTCGTAATCCTCAATATCACAATTCATATTTCCACTAAATAATTATAGATCATAACGATATGTTTCGATTAAGATATTGAATTGACGTCCACCGAACACATGGTCGCGCGCGCATTCCGTCGCGACTCCAATGGAACTGACTCGATTCTCAAAATGGCCGCCCTACCAGTGCTCGGTGTTCGCCATGGGCATAGAGTAAGCCTACAAATATTAATTAATAGACATAGGCATCAACGCGTCACTAATTCCTTTCAATTTTTGTTGTTTATAGTAGGATTGAATTTCAAAGAATAATTTTACTACAAAGGTATAGATAAACAGAAAAGTAACTGGCAGTACAAAAATTAATTTAATTCATTTCAGATTACAATTATTACTTATTTGGCCTTTATATATCAGTTTACCATTTGTTTCCATAACTGCCAGCACCGTATCCATACCCGCTGTATCCTTGACCATGTGCGCCATAGGCTGTCTGTCCACCAACTCTTGAAGAGTAAGGCGTATCAGGCCCTAAGTACTTCTTGATAGAAACTGAAGAAATAGCGGAGCCAGCTAAACCAGAGTTTCCGTAACCTGCAACACCCCCGTAGCCACTAAGACCATTATAACCGTATCCTTGGGAATCCGCGCCATACGCTCCGTGCCCTCCAAATCCTGTAGAATATGGCACTGCCGGTCCTGAGTATTTCTTGATAGATACAGTAGAGGTGGCGGGTCCAGCCAAACCAGTGTTTCCGTAACCTGCAACACCGCTATAACCACCAACACCAGTATAACCGTATCCTTGTGAACCCGCGCCATACGCTCCGTGTCCTTCAAATCCTGTAGAATAGGGAACAGCGGGTCCAGAGTATTTCTTGATAGATACACTAGAGGTGGCCGGTCCGGCAAAAGCAGACGCGCTCGATCGATAGCCTCCGTACTCATAAGATCCTGATCCATAACCTTGCCATCCATTTCCATGTCCCAAGTTATTTGTTGAACCATATCCGAGGCCAAATCCGTGTCCTACGTTTGTATCGTATCCGACGCCTAGATTAGCACTATGTCCAAAGCCAGGTTGACCCAGACCTAGTCCACCGGAAAGGTTTCCGCCACGCGCCAGACCAAACAGGCATAGGATAACAGCGATCTGTAAGAAACATGATTCGTAATATATTAAAAGTTTTTTTTTTGTAAAAGTTGCTAGTAACTATTGTTAGTTAAGATACATTTCATCTTACCTTAACGGCCATTGTTATGAACTGTTTAACTTTGTAATGTTTAGATCTGCGAATATTTTTGTTTATATACGCTAATTTTTGTAATGCAATAACCTTGTTTTTGATGAGGTTTATAATTTTTTACTACACAAGATAACAGATGTAGCAACAACTGTAATTCTAAATTTATTCAATAGGTTGTTTAATTTCTGTTGCAAAGATTCGAATGATAAAATTTATTTTAGATTTTTTTTCAAGCGTGAACTAAACTACTTCTATATTGTCTTGATAGGTGTCCTAAAACATTGAAATCTATGCAACCAAATTGTTGTTACTGTTGCTACTTTTGTTTATTACCTCATAATTATTGGTATTGTCATTCTTTCAACTGAAAAACTTGGAACAGGCAGCTGTCCTTTAAAATTGTGATCATTTTAGTTAGGAGTTAGAACAATTTCTTAACGTTTCTAATGATTATTGTTATGATATTGCTTTAATCATATATCAACAAAAAGTCGTAACAAATTTTGTAAAATACTGTCAAATTAAGCTTTAATTAAATTCCATGTGTTTGTCCTAACTTCTTTGCTAAGAAAGACCAACGAAACTTTAGATCGTGTTTATTCTATAATTTCTCAAGACGTATGAGAACTTTTGAAACATAATGAAGTTAAACGACAACAGTGTACTATGATATATGTTACGTATATAATAAGCAGACCTTGTTACATTCATAGTTTAAATATGTTCCCTTACATTTAAACTTGCATTTACAACTTGTAACTAAGGCAGGTTTATGGAATTATGTTAATATTATCTTACATCGGCGACTCCGTCGCGTTGAATTAAAAACAAAAGTAAGCTGTGTGTTCTTCCAGATTATCGTCTACATCTATGCCATATTTCATCGTAATCCCTTCAGCAGTTTAGGCCATAAATATAATATAATTCATCCATCCAAACTTTCACATTTACAATATTAGATATTATATTATTTATTCTATTTATGTTTACTTATGTCTTAAATGAGTTACAATATATTGATACTAAAAGGCAATAAACTCATAATTGCATAAGTAATGATTTTTACATAAAAATTGACTTTAAAATCAGCTTATGGACGATAATTTTAAGTGATAACGTTATGCCGTTCATGCCTCTTTATCGTTTGTTCTGCGTTTTCTTTTGCACGCTTAGACCAGGGGGAATGTGACTATGATATGATGTGTATATGAATATTTTGTGTTGTATTTTTTGTCTTAATAACAGTAACGGCTTTAATGGTAATAATTTAGCAATGTGTACAAAACAAGAGAAAAAACAAAAGCTAAACAAGTTTCAAGTGTTTTAACATGATGTATTTAAGTGCCTATTTGTTTTTGATCTTTACGACGAAAATCCTTTTTAATAAATAGTAAATAGACACTTTGTGATGAGTACATTCTTGTGTGATGAAGTTGGTATTCGCTAACATTTTTAAGTGTAACATATATTTAGCGTCTCCGGTTGAACACTTTGTTTAAATGCCTTTAATTTTAGATTAGCATGAGATCCTATATTAGTTGAGAACAAATGCACTTGTAGAGAGTACAAGAAGATAAATTAACGTGATAATATTCATATATTAATTCAAATAAGTAAAACGTTTTTTTTTTAAATTATGTTTTTTAGATAATAGTTTTAAATGTTTGTTTTTATAGGTAACCATACATACAGCTTTCAGTAACATCGAATTAGACCAATACTTAAGCATAGCAAGCATTATAGTAATACATTTTATTCAACTATTTCTCTAAAGTTCTAATTATAAGGTTAAAAGAAAGATATTTTTATTAATTCAATGATTTATTTTCACCCAGTTTACAAACATTCACACAATGATACATCTTTACCATTTATTTCCGTAGCCACCAATACCCTGTCCGTATCCGCCATATCCGTAACCACCATAGCCCTGGTTACCATAGGCTCCAAGACCATAGGCACCGTACCCGCCATATCCACCGGAGTACGATGAAGGTGGGTGGACTGTGCTGTATTGAGTCACTGAAGCTGGAAGTCTAGAATAGGCTGAGTTAGCTCCATATCCTCCATAGTTTCCGTAACCTCCGTAACCGTTGGCTCCGTAACCTTGCCAGCCGTTGTAACCCTGACCAACTCCATATCCTAGACTTGTAGCGTATCCAAAACCAGTACTGTATCCGAGACTTGATCCGTGGCCTAGATTTGCACCGTATCCTAATCCAGATAAATGTCCACCATATCCAAGTGACCCTTGATGTGCTAGAGCTGGTGAGCCGAGAGCAGATCCACCATAGAGGTTACTGGCGTGTGCCAAACCGAAGAGGCAAAAGACAACAGCAATCTGTAAAAAATAAGTTTTTAGATTAGCATGTTAAACAATACTAGATATACGTCTTCACGAAGTGTGAATTTTATCGCTAAATTAAAATAGATTTCAATATTTTAAAACTTTACCTTCATGTTCATTGTTGTTGATGCTTCAGCTTTGAAGAGTGGAATGTGTTCTTGTACGAAGTCTTCTGCTTATATATGCAAATGTTGATAAAGTATCAACCTTGTTAAAGCAACTAAATCAGTAAAAAAGATGTCGAAATATGTAACAAAAGATTTTTTACATCAATCAAGTGATTGTCGGAATTATCCTTCCTCATAAAGAGGGTTATAAAGCTCCCCGTAACGACGTTTATGTTACATCGAAGTTACGTTTCGTAATCTTATCTCACAAATATAATAAATGCGAAAGTTTGGATGTTTGGTTGTATTGGTGTATCTTTGTTACGTCACATCAGTACGGCTGGACTGATCTGGATGATAATTGGAACTAAAACAAATTACACTCTACAATAAAGCGTATGTTTCACGGTGGTCAGTTTCAATAAGAAGTGGTCGAAGTCGCCGACGACAGCTGCATACATGTACGTGATCTGCAATATTGATCAAAATATTTCTATTGGCTAATAGCTATAAAATGTTATAGTAAAGCTACGTAGTTCAATGTAGTTCTATTGCTTACTCATTTCAATTAGATTTAGTATAATTGAGGCGAAGATAAATGACAGTCTTGGAGCGTCATTGCGTATCCGTTTTCAGTATAACTGAAGCAAATCGTTATCGCAAATCTTATAAATTTGTCCATCATTGCATCCGTTTTAAGTTAAGTTTGGGATTTTATAGTATTCGTATATTCGGATAATAAAAGAAAACAAGTATAAGGCATTATTTATTTATTTACTTTTTTAGATAAAAGATGGTCTTCATTTATATTTTTATAATGTAAGAACATTTTTTTAAATATTTGCCCACGGTAATAAATTAAATCGGTAGTACTCGTTTTACTACTAAATTATAAATTACTAATGCATTCAAAGAAAAAATAAATAGAAACGTCATAGTTCCAAGAAAAATGAGAGAAGAAGCATAATGAACTTTAAACAGAATGGATAGAAAAGTAAATAAAGTGGGGAAATAAAAATAACAAAAAGAAAATACAAAATTAACATTTTCTTTTTTTAAACGATTTTAGCATCATGCACAATTGGAAATATTTTCTATTTTAACGTTTTTTTTTATTTCATTTAAGGTCGGTATTAGATATTGATTACATATTATTTCAGTATTTACTTGTGTATTCATTTAAGCGCAAAGCAGTAGTTAGCATTTAATATAAAAATATGAATTGTCTGTTTGAGCGTGAGCTTATTGCTTAAGCACCTTCAGACTTAAAACGACTGGAAAATAAGAGCGCTGTTCTTGAATAGGTCGTTCAATTCCTTGTTTTGTTGATTTTTACCCTAACTTTAATAAAATGTATTATTTTAATTGTTTTACTAAAGATTAATTATTACTTAGCTTGTAACATCACTTTTTTCGTATTCTAAGGAGCGAAATAAAAATTAAAGCCTAGTTACAATACCATCGTAAATAGTTATTGTTCGTTAATAGAATGAATATTTTTTGTATACGTGCTACAACAATATATGTGTTTTTTATACATTTATGGTAAAAAGTGGTATCTATGAAATGTGCCATGAAATAAATTAAAAGAATAACTGGTACTTTGTCATATATTTTATTCATTCGTAAAAAAGTTTTCGTTTACATTGTTCTATTCTTTACCATTTGTTAGCATAACCTTGATGTCCGTGTCCGTATCCATAACCACCGTACCCTTGGCCACCGTAAGACCTAGCTGGGGAATAGGCACCGAGACCGCCTAACCCCGCAGAATAGGATGCACTAGGTGCAACTGTGTGTACTGTCGTATACTGGACAACAGATGCCTTCTCCGGTCCGGAATAGGCCGAGCTTGCTCCGTAACCTCCGTATCCGCTGCTGTAACCTCCGTAACCATACGATCCGGATCCATAACCTTGCCAGCCATTGTACCTATTACCAGCTCCATATCCTAGATTTGCACCGTGTCCAAAACTGGTACCGTATCCAAGAGCTGAGCCATGTCCCAGACTAGCACCATATCCGAGGCCACCTGATAAGTGCCCGAGGTTGGTTCCGGAGTCGAGACCATGTCCTAAATTTGCTCTGAGAGCTGATAGATGTCCAAGGTTAGCTCCGAGCCCTGTCCCGACGTGTGCGAGTGCAGAAGAACCAAGGGCAGATCCACCATAAATGTTTCCGGCGTAAGCAACACCGAACAGGCACAAGATTACGGCAATCTGTAATGAAGAAAAAGGAAAAAACATGATACATTTTGAATTATTTGGCTATAATAATTACTAACTAATGTTGTTGATTGTCGATTATTTCGTAGCTCCACATAAGCTCATAGGAACAAAAACGAGATTAAACAGTTGTGCGACAGTGTAGTCAAAGGTCATACATGCCCTTTTAGTTGTAGAATAGTCATGACAAATATAATTGGACAGCTCGTAGCAGAAACCCTTTGAATAACCCACGACACCTTCTATTTAATAAGTTAACATAAAATCTGCTGATATACACCTTACCTTCATGGTCATTGTTGTTGATGCTTTACTTTGTAAGAGAGGAATGTGTTTTTGTATCAAAATCATCTGCTTATATATGCAAGTGTTTGAACATTTATTAACCTTGTTAAAGCAACTGCAAAAGACTAAAATATGAAGAAATAGGTAATAAAAGATTTGTTGCACAGTCGAAGTCATGATCAAAATTACCCTTTGTTCATAAGATATTTAACTATAACAGTTTTCTTTTCATATTATTGTTTAAGTTCTTTGTTCACGTAACAGTATTGCGTAACTTTTAAAATGTGATATCCAGAGCGGACGTAACTTCAAAAAATAGTTCCTGGGATGTACTCGAAAGGCATTTTTTGCAAAAGTCAAGATAACCCAATATGTATAATTAATTATTCATCAAAGAATAAAAAAGGCATTAATCTAATGGTTTTTTGTACATCTAACATGTACCATTAATTATATAAATAACTATTAATTAAAACGTGAACCAAGTTACAGGGTTTTGGTTACATTGTTGTGAAGTTTGCAAAACTCTGGAATAAGCTATTTAGTAAGTTGTAACGTAGCCAAAAGTTTGAACTATAAGGGATTAATTTGGTAGATGTTTATTTGTTTAAAACCATACTATACAAACAAGTCTTTAGTGTTTAGTGTTAATTAAAAGTTTATCCTTTACCAATAGGTAGGATAGAACATTCAGGGCCTGTCCCACCAATTTTTAAACTGTATGATATCAATCTATCGTATAAAATATGTGATGGAAACATCGAATTTTGTTACCTTATCTGACAGTGGCGTCATTTTTAAGCTATTTGAGACTTTATCAGCCTGTGGTGGGACAGGCCCTAAGTAATCCAAAGATTAAAAAACATACTCTAAAATTTTTCTTTATAGTAATAATGAATACGTCCTTACTAAGCTAGCGTCCATCCTTAGACCACTTCAATAACTCATTGTAAGAAATAATCAGAATAATCCCTTTTTACAAGTTTAAATAAATCATCTTACTCAATTTTAATAATAGAAAAGTTCACACATATTGCATTGGTAGTATTTTTCAAGCGCTTTGAGTTTTATTGTTACTATTTCTCGGTTATGTTATTCATATTTATGGTAATATTTAAATTTATACATATAACAGATAAATAATAAAACCAGTGGAGCTTGCGCTGCTGAGAAATGATTACCTATTACCATATTGTACGGTTCATGCACGCCTCTTTTGCGTTATCTTGTATTAGACTAATATTTACTTCAAAGAGTTAGTAATTTAAAAAATGTAAAAAAGTAACTGTACAGCCTTTTATTATTATCAGTTTAAGCTTGTTCAATGCTTAAGTTATTTATTACTTCTCTAATAATTCTTCGAAACCAGAAGGGGAAAGAATAGAAGACAATTAAAATTAAAAGACATTATTTTTAAAAGTGTTATATAAATAAGCATCTCTCGTTAATATTTTATTATATTACAAAACACTATAAATGTTCGAAAATGTTAACTCACAAATTGTGCATTTACTCCAAAACTTACATCTATTTACAAAGTTGATATGATAATCTATACAGTGATACACAGTGATGATGATGATGATGTATTCGATGACGTAATCCATGGATAACAAACCCTCCTACTGCAATAAGGTGATCGTCAGGAATACAATAACTCGTCATAAGATGCCAAAGACGATAAAATCAATGGATAGTTGGATGTAATGCATGCGTAATAAAGATATGTTACTTGCTACGGTTTATTCTTATATCATATTAGATAGTTATACATTATCATACTCTGTTATTTTTATATCAATAACAATAATTACATTAAATCGTAATAACTTTTTAAATTAGCTGAGTTAAGAATTAGTTGATGTTTATGGCGCAAAAGATTTTCGAAAGCATGTATATTCACACTAAATTATTACCGTAAAATTACAAAATAATTCACGATTTAAAACAAGATTACATGAACAACATGTACAGTTACATTTAAAAAAAATCTTTAAAACGATTTGTTAACAATTTTCTTCACTACCAAATGTTTCCATAGCCATATCCACCGTATCCTGAACCTCCATAACCTGGGCTTCCTAAAGGCCCTCCTGAGCCATAAACTCCATTACCAGGGAATCCTGTATTATAGGGTGAGTTTGGTGCAACCGTATTTACAACAGGAGGTATCCCTTGACCGGTGTAGAATGAATTTGAACCATATCCGCCAAGGCCAACGTATCCTCCAGAGTATCCGGGTGCATAACTCTGCCATCCGTAACGATGTCGTCGTTTGATTGGATTTGTACCATAACCAAAACCTAAATTGCCATTATAACCAAATCCTGCTACTTGTCCGATATTTGCTCCAAGACTAGATGTGAATATGCCGCGTCTAGCGTGAGACAACGCTAACAAACAAAAGAAAATCGCAATCTGTAAAAGATAAACAAGTAAACTTACAATATTTTTAATCTTTAAAACTTTTTATACTAGAAATCGAAGTAAACACGTACATAATTATAATTATGGTGCAATATTAAAATGTATCCGAGCGACATTTCTTATTGGTAGAGTTTTAACATTATTAACAATTCTAGATTCAAAATAACAAAGATGTTTTACGAGTATCACACAAAAATAAAGAAAGTTATGGCATTAGATACAATGTTGCTCAAACGGAACAGAACCGGAAGGGAAATGCTATTTGTAAATAAAATTCTAGAAAAGGCTCTAGTTTCGCCTTTAAAACTTACTGTAAGAATGAAGACGTTTGCCAACTATATTTTGCCTGTTACCATAAGGCTTTTTGTCTTTGTTAGAACTATGATAGAAAAGAAAAAAAACTGGTACGAAATATTAAGGTGCGTTTAAAATTTGTTAACTATTTGATGAAGGTCCTGCTATACTAAAAAATCACAAATGAAGATACACCACTTTTTATTTAAAGAAAAACTTACCTTTCGAGTAACTAACATATTTACTTCGATTTGAAATAGAGAAGACTAGTTAACTGTACAAAAAATACTTCTTATATATGCGATAATGTCGAAAACGTAAGCCTTATTAAGACAATTGGATCGGCTTAGTGTATATAGAAATAGGCGATGAATGATTCTTTACATCGATCAAGTCATTTTCTAGATTACTCTTATCCATTACATTAACGCAACAAAATTCTTTACACCTCTATACAGTTGTCAACATACAATTACGTAATAATGCTTTACAAGCACAATCTGTATTACAAATAAATTACTCCATTGAATCGATACAATTAGTTCATTACAAAAACCTAAAAGAAACGAATTTTCTCTGATCTAATGACACTCAAAACGATGACCTACTTGTTTTTTTTAAATAAAGACTTGATTATCAACAAACAAAAATATCACTATCTGTAGAAGGCCGTAAACTATTTTATACTACTATTTTTATACTTTTGGCCATAAAATATCGGAGTCGTAAAAGTAATTAAAGACATTACACTTAAGGAAGTTTAACGACTTCAGAAAGGGTGAGTAGGATTTGTGTTAGGGTAAGTATTGGGCTCAAAGAGGGCATGACCATCCTTGGGTTTGAAGTATTTGATTAGCAACATTCAAATAAAGAAGAACATAATTTTAGACACATTGTTACGAAATCTTATCATGTTGATCAGTAGGAATGCTACAAGCTGAAGTACGGATAATATGTGACGTCAGAGATTTATTTTCAAGTAAACTAGGAGCTTGTAAATAGAAGTAAAACAACAAAGCATATTAATATATGTTATTTATTTACAAAAACACACGCATTATAATTAATTGAAATGTGAATAAAACAACCAACTCTTTAAATATATTTCTTTTCGTTCGAATACATTCCTTAATTGAGTTTTACTTTTTTACCACTTTTTTCCATAACTCCCGTAACCGTGTCCGAATCCATAGCCAGCAATTGGAGGATAAGCATCGTGTCCGCCGTATTGTGATGCATATGGTACTGGTGTTGCTGAATGAATACTATATTGTGATACAGATGAAATCGGTGCTCTGGGATATGCTGAATTTGTTCCAAAGGCAGTAAGTCCGTTACCGTTATAACCATTGTTGAATTTTGAACCATAACCTTGCCAGCCATTATATCCTTGACCGATTCCGTAACCTATAGTTGCGGCATGTCCGAATCTTGTACCATGTCCGAGAGTTGATCCATGAGGCAAACTAGCGCCGTATCCAAGGTTCGGTAAATATCCTGTTTTGTATCCAAGACCTGCTCCGTATTGTCCTAGAGATGATGGACCGAATCCAGTTCTACCGTGGAGGTTTTCAGATAACGTCAAGCCAAACAGGCAAAAGACAATAGCGAACTGTAAGATAGAATATAAGGAAATTATGTACCATTGAACAGTAAAAGTTGTGTGTTTAATATTTATTTACCGCAGCTAAAGTGTAATAAATCATTTTTATAAAAAAAGAATGAATGGCTTTAGAAAGACATGTAATAGTCAGATTTTTGTAAAAGAAAAGTTAGAATTCTTATCTGAATACTAATAGTCGTAGTATGACTGGACATTCGCCAATTCTTTTTGTTCTCTTTTTTGTTAAATTCCTTGAGAATTCAATCTATAATCAGCAACTAAAAAACTAACAATATTTATAAAAACCTCACCTTCATGGTTCTTGTGAATGCTTTAGATTTGATCGGAGGAATGATTTTTTTGTTTGAATATTTCTGCTTATATGTAAAAGTCAAAATATATTAGCCTTATTTTTGACAACGATTGTGATTTTCGATGCGAGTAAAGTAGATTTTGAAATGTGTTTTAAAACATTTTTATATCGATCAAGTAATTTCGGTCAGTACTGCTTCATGTATCGTTTTTATCACGTAACAACATTGCGTAAATATTCAAACTAGCTTTCCCTTACTTTTATTTCGCTTTTAATATTCCTTTCTCATATTATGAAAGTGGTGACGGTTAGGATAGCCAGAAATAGACTCTTACACTAGTTTTTAATAACAATTTTCTAATTACGAATCTTAGAAATTCATATTTATTAGTACTCTTTTGTTCCAAAAACATTAAAAATGCTGTTTGATTCATAAAACAATGATTGTTATATTACTTCACAGTGAAGCGGATGGAAATCAAATCTACATTTCTGATCTCAATGTTGATAATAATGAACTTTAATTCTCCCGAATTCTTTTAATATTTATTGTAACTAGAGTAGAGTATTTAATATTTTTAGGTCCGCATTAAATAATATTTATTTTGTGTTATGACATTAAATGAGGAAACCAAATATGGATATTGATAATTATTTATTCAGTTTTTACAATTTTACTATTTACCATTTTCCGTAGCCACCGTATGCCTGTCCGTATCCACCATATCCGTATCCGCCGTATCCGTGGCCGCCATAACCCACAGCTGGGGCATACCCACCATGAGCACCGTATCCCGTTGAGTACGCCACGACGGGAGTCGAATATCTCTTAACGGACACAGTGGATATAGCGGGTGCAGCATATCCGCTGTATCCACCGTAACCGCCATAACCGAGAGAGCCGTATCCGCTACCGTATCCGAGACCGCCATAACCTAGACCATCGCCATGTCCGTATCCGGAGTATCCAATGCCTGCTCCATGACCGAGTCCAGATGTGTACCCAATACCGGATCCGTAGCCTAGACCTGTTCCATAGCCAAGACCAGTGCTGTATCCGAGGCCGGTCGAGTATCCGAGTGCGGATCCAGCGGCAAGATGGCCGGCGCGGGCCAGACCGAAGAGGCACAATACGACTGCGATCTGAAAAAAATGTAAAAAAAAATATTTTATTTATTTTTAATATAACAGCAGTTGTAATAAAGTTTTTCTATCTAAATGAAGATAGTTATAATGCGCAAGTCACTTATGACGCTTATTCGAAAGGACTCAGTATAGGTACCATAAGTACTAAGCACTTCAGATGTCTTTGTGTGCCAAAATAAATTGGCCGTGAGCCAGTCATAGAATCTCTGAATTAAGTTAATAAGAGTAACTCTTATCTGTTACCCATTCATCTATCCTTAGTAATCGTATGACTTTTAGAGACTAGGTAACATAGAGTAAAATAACCTTCTAATATTTATACTTAATATTTTAAAGACCTTTGATAAATATTTACTTTTGAAATAATATCAAGAATATTTACTACTTCAAAGGTCAATTAATAAAGAATAAAAAGTAATTGTAGCTATAAAGTGCAAGGAATAAGACCCAAGCGTACATAAAATTTTCGATGTAGCGAAACTAGAGTACTGATATAAATCCTTTCTTTATGTTAGGACTTATTGTTAGAACAGTCCTGGACGTTTGCCAACGCCGCTTATTTTATAACCCCAAATCTAAGAACACAGTCACGAAATACAACTCGTAATGTAGATTTTACTTGAAAAAAATGTTAAAACTTAAGAAGATTACTTTACTTCTTAAAAAGTATTAGATAAATAATAAACACATGGATTTACAACACTTTTTCAGACGCACATTTAAAATGCATAAAGATAAACTGCTTTAAGCCACATGTTTTCAAATTGCTTTAATTTATGTAGTTAACTAAATAAAATCAGAACACTAATGTTGAATGATGATCAAAGATCCACAAAACACCAAGCTCACATTTAAGTGAAACTAGAAATGATTTACTTCAAACTACTGTTAAATCAATAATCCTCAAAGCTAAGGATATAAAGTATTATGATGGACTTACTTTAATTGCCATTGTTGTATATGCTTTAGGTTTGAGGAGTAGAATGATATTTGGAGCGCAAAATTTTAGTTTATATACACAAATGTCGGAAACGTAATCTAACCTTGTTCTGGCAAGGCTCATGACTTCAGCAGCCATTGTACAAAGATAATAGCCACAGCAATAGGCATAAGTACTGCGTATAATTTAAATTGCACCTCTCGAGCGGATCGACGGCGAAGGTTCTGTGAAAAAAGTTCTAATCACAATGCCAACAAATGAATAACGAACGTTTGCTGTTCCACTCCACAGACCATTCATAATGTTTAACAGATAATTTAATAAGACGATAAAGAATGTGCTCCCACGATTTAACTTCACAGGAACATTGCTCTGACAAGACCAAAAACGTACCAAAGAATCGTACCCTCCTTACCGTTATCCTAGAGATCAGGATATTCCAGAAAGCACGATTGGAACTGCGGTAAATACTGGGCGTCAGAGCAAGTATTTTTTTTTAGATTGCAAGCAACTTAAATTTTTAAAAAATAAAATAAGGGACAGTAATTCGAAGTTCAATTATGTTTACCTTTGTTTTTATTATTATGGTCGAATCTTTTTATTAATGTACGCTAAAATTGATATTATGTAAATAGATAATAAATAATTTTCTGATATTTGAATTTTAATCCGTCTCTAAGGGATGGAATGTATATTTAATTCTAAGCGTACCGCGCTTAAAATAAATTTATTCAAATGACAATTCAACAGGGAATTTACTTTACGTTCAGCCAATTGAGATATAATATTCTTTAATATTTTAGATCCGTAAAAAAGTCAAATATCAATGATAGAGAAAAGGCCCTGTGTTTATAGGTGAGGTTGTCTTGATTGCAGAGAATATGAATTAGTTTAACATAAAACTCATGTCTAAATCTGTTCATACTAAAATTGTCCTAATATTAATAAAAAAATGAGCGGTTTGTAGATTTCAATTCTGAAGGTAGATCATATAAACGGTAACGATCTTCCATTGTTGGCGTGTGTATGTCGGAGATAATGAAATAAATCGCGTAACATTAGAAACACCATCATTAGTTGATCACCATCGTAATTAATAACTCCACAACAAACTCTAATCGAGTTGCAAACATTTACAGGGACTTTTCAATTGATTTTATAATAACAAAATGCATCATTCCATCATTCAAAGACAACTGTCAGCTGTAATTGTATCGTCGTTTTGACATCTATCATGCACGATGCACATTCAGCCAGTACTCAAAATTATTAGTTGCCAGTTACTTTAATCGTTTAAGAAGTATCAATAATTTCGCCCGGTTAATTTTTTTATTGTACACTTATGATGTTGATTAATGCTACTGTTTACGTTTATTATTAACAAAATTAATTATAATTACAAAATCCTTCAGCTGTTTGTTCCGTATATCAAAAACTTTAATTAAACATACATGTTCCTCATCCTTTTAATAAATAGGAAAGTCATCGTGGCGCGTAATCTGTGCTCCCGAACAATGCGTTATTAAATCAACGAGAGCGGCAATTACTTCGGCAATTTATCAACACAACGACACTCGCCTTCAAGCGATGTAATAAACAAGAGTGACGAAAAGGCTACTGCGAGGGGAACGTACTATGATCGCATTTGTCACGACAAAAATAGATCACGCAATAAGATAATGGAATGAAATGTGACGCGTCAACACGCCCGTAAACAATCATGTTTTTGTTTATTTTGATTGTATAAGTTGCTATAAGTTGGTATTGTATAAGTTGGTGGTATAACTAGCTGATAGAAGCTCAGATAGCTTAAAAATGACGTCACTGTCAGGTAAGGGAACAAAATCCGATGTGTGGACACATATTTTACTAGGCGTTTGTACGAGTAGTAGGCGTTTGAGAAGGCCTATGTCCGTCAGTGGGCAAACTATGATGATGATAAAATTTTTCTGGTAGCTAAGACAGCGACTGCTTATGATCTAATAGACGACGAAATTAAAGAAAATGAAACTTAGGCGTGGCCTTATCATTTAAATGCTGTTGTATTGATGAACTAACTTAAATAAATTATTTAGTATAAAGTACTCATTCCACGTAATATTTGAGAATAGAATTTTGTATCGACGTTTGTTGAAGCTATACTTAAACCGCTGCACCATTCTGTATAAAGATATCTAACAACCGTGAAAAGCGCAGACCTTTCCAAACAGTATCAACCTTGAGACGTGCTGTTTAAAGTCGGAAACACAGATTACTATCGGCCGGTTAAAATACCCATTATAATGAATAATGACCACCAACTGAAGCAAACAGTTTATATTACAATAAAAAACGTTTAAAACCCATATAATTTTGTATACTTTACGTTTTTTGATATATTCTAATTAACAATGTCATTTAAAAACATGAATCACAAATTAATTAGCCCTAACTTTAACATGAGAAGATTTTATTTATTTATAAATTAAACTTTTTTATTTAACTTGTTTTAATTTGACTAAAATGGGATAAATTTAGTAAATGAATTTAAATAGTTTTGGCATCCAAGAACAGTTAAATATAATTCTTTTGTTCAATACATTTTTTTTCTGTTATGGGTGCCCTGTGACTGGTTTTATGGCTTTAATTTGGCGAACACGATAAAACAAACATAACGACATGAATGTTCAACTTCCTGTCCGTGTATCGATTACCACGCAATTTATTCATTCGTTTTCAATGTATTCAGTAGTAAACAAGTTACATTATTATTAAAGTTACAATATTATATAATCGCATATTAGTTTTTGACCGACTTCCCAAAAGAAGGAGGTACTCAAGTCGTCTGTATGTTTTAGATATAATAATTGCATATTAATTTTTATATCTAAATTCATACAATACCTAACCTACATTTTGGCATTTTTTATAGATTACAATTCAGATAAAATGCCTTTAAACGGTATTATAAAAGCTTTTTATAGATGTAGTAATAGTACTTGTAGTAATAATTGAGCTAGCGGCTTTATAGAATCTCGTACCTATGTTACGTGACTATTTCACAGTATAAATAAAAAAGTGGATTGGCATTTAAAATTTTATTCGCGTTGTATCACAATAAATATATAGAAGAAATAACATAACTAGATTTTCATTTTCATGTTAAGGTGATCACCAGCCGTGACCAGCTAGTCCGCCGTAAGACAGACCGTGTCCCGCCGATAT